CGACCTCTTGCTTCATTTCCCCCGGCTTAACAACCAACCTCCGCACGATTTGCTCATTCTTTTTGAATGACAAATTGGTGCTGGCACATGTTAGAGAGGCATGAATTCATTGCCGAAAACTCTTAGCAACAAGAACCATCGGAGACTCTACTAGCAAGTGACTACATTTGCCGCCATGTTCTAGTCTTGCTGTTCAGTGTAGCTGTTCAGTGTAGGTTGTCCTTCGCAGCAACCTTAGTAACTTCCCGTAAGCCACAAAAGAGCCGATATTTTACTCTGTCCTAAATTCCGCAACTTCGAAATGTTTTAGAGCAGCACTGTGTTACGGGTCTTACTGGCTTTGAGGCGCATTCGTGGGGAACCGAGTTCATCTTCGTTATTCCACCAAATAACGGCGATGTTGCGAAAACGGAAGCATGGGTTCATCTTGTTGGGTTCGATGCCGCTGTGGAGCATGAAATACATATACATTACAATCAAGTGACTGGTCGCGATACAAACTCAAAACTCACTAGAAAGACTATCGAAGTAAAGGAAAAGCTTAGGAGCCGCAGCGTATGTCGTTTAGCAATTGTTGCTCTTCTTTTTCACGGTACTGGTGGGCGGGCTTGTCTTGACGCCGTGATATTATTGCTGGTAAGTGTGCAAAATAATTCATTAATCACATCATAAGCACAATTATTGATGTGCACAATATTTGCGCATAAAATTTAAGAAAATCGCCAAAGTTTGTTATGATATTGCCGCGTCGTGTGATTGGCTACAGAAAAACCAGATTTCTGGCTAATTTACAAAACGTCACATGGCGTTTCGACCAATTAAACTTGAGAAACTGCCATTCTTACTGGCAAGCGGTATTTCAGAAAAAGTCACAGAATTCTATCAGGCGGCATTGATAAATAAATGTGTAACTCCGTAAAGAAATAGGGGTCCATGGTAGTTGTACGTGGGTTTACAAATAGTGGAATTGGTAGATACATGGTCACCAGCATTTTCACCCATTCCAATCATTTTGATGTGATCCTCACAATAAGTGTACGATGGTACTTACAGGTGCAGCTGGAAAAAGCGATACTGGATTATATAAAAGACGGTCTGCATGAGCTACCCGACGTCAGAATTCATATTGTTTCGGACAGGAAAATATCGGTGTTTTGTCATACAAGAGATCACAGTGGGGCAATTGATGTTTTCCTAGGTATTTAATTTATGTGAACTTTCTAAACTTATGTCGTTGTAAACTTAAAAGACATTTTTCATATGAAATCCTTTGTTTTTCGTTTTATGATCACCTGAACAATGAGGCTCATTTTTGACGGACTACAAGTAAAACATCATTGTAATCGTACGAGAAAGTGAAACTGGATGAGTCGAAACTGCTGCTAGCCTTACTTGCCTATCGGTATTGTGCATCAGCTAGTAACATCCACAAAGAAAAATCAAATGGCCAGCTCGGCTAACTTCTGAAGAGATGGCTTATGTATACTGAACAACCGTTTGGTACTAACTGGAGAAGTACAGGGTTCTCTTGAGAGAAAAACGGTTTGGCAACTTTAGATGTATTCCGGTAAAATTTAGATGTTACTATGGTTCACGTCGTTCTTACTGTGTACAGCATATGTAGCTGGTATTTTTCTCATGATAAGCCCTGAATTTAAAAAAAAAAAAAAAACACAATCTGCAGTGCACCCGATCGGTATGGCAGGAGATTATTATGCATTTTCACTGCCTATGCCGACGTTCGAAGATGGTACCTCGTCAATATATCTCATGCCACTCGGCGCGACCAACAAGACCCGATTGCTCAAAGGGGATATCCATAATGTTTCCTTGACAATCAGAAGATCATACGCTGAGGGAAATACTAGTGAAATGCAACAAACTATGAAAGTTTGTAAATTACTTATCAAAACGGAGTTTGCTTATAGTCGAATTTTCCCTTTTTCTTTTTACTTACGGTTGAGATTCGTCAGTAGAAAGGGCACAATGCGGGATGCTGTAAAAGCAAT